GGACAACCAACCCTCAACAAGATGGATTGACACAGTGGCTCCAACAATGAGCTCCAACAAAGCAATCAATGACTGTGAGGCTGGTGAAGGAGTGGGCAATGTTTCACAGGGTTGTACCACAGTCAGAACCTACCCCACTGCCTTGAGCAACAATGGAGACCTGTTATTCAATATAAATGTACTTTATGTAAAAGTAATAATGCATTGAGGTAAGGATGTCAAAGGGCATTGTGATTGGGGTTCCAGTTCATACATTCATGGAGTTACTCCTAACAAAATGTGTTTAAACAAGACTGGGATCAGTGGATGGCTGCAGTTCTCTACGCAGTATACTGCTTTAGTCTCATTAGGGTGCCTTCAAAAAACTTCAATCAAAACTGTAGCTTCAAAGGGTTCTGCTGGGCCATGTAAATTCAAGACAGTAGGGTCAGCTCACAAAGTTTCCAGTTGCTGTTTTGGGGATTCCAAAGGATAATCTTGATAATTTTGCTTGAGTGACAGGACAATTATGAGGACTCATTACGAAGAATAGCATTGGAGAGAAAAAGCATGAAAAGTTGTGCCAAGGAACTGTTTTCCTTCATGATAACACACCTGCTCATTTTTCTCAGGGAGCAAGCACTGTCCAAATAGAACTTAATTTGATCTGCCCTTTCAGCCTTCTTTTTGTTTCCCAAACATGGAGGGCTTTTTGAAGGAATATGATTCGAGACCCTGGAGGACGTCATTTTGCTGTGGAGTAAATCAAAATGCTCAGATTTCTTCAGAGAACGGTGAGTGCTGGAAACACTACCCTCACAAATGCACATATTCTCCATGGAGGGTATGTCAAGAAACAATCATTTCATATTTTGATATTTTTGTTTAATAAATGTGTCCATGATTTTGTAGCAATACTTCTTGACTTACTCTTGTAACTTTCGAAATGTAGAATATAACAAATGAAATTTCAACATCCACAAAATGTACTTCTAAAAAACACAGCAAAATCCTGGCTAAGTAATATGATGCGACCAGCCGCCATATGGAAGAAAGATGAGGCTTTCTACTCGTTTAAGGAGTTGTAGTCTCCGAAAAGTCACAGGGGAAATTCTATCCTGAGGATAAAATATTCTATTCTATCTAGAGGGTCACCATGAGTTGGTATGGACTAGATGACAATGAGTTTTTTGTTTGCAGCCAAACAATGGAATTATCGAAGAGTTGCTTTCTCCACAAAGCCTTACTCACTCACCAATCCAGGGTCTCATTAATATCTAGGTTTCAGATGCATATGTTTCTAGATACAAGGTTCAGGGGAAATGGAATTTAAAATAATAGAATTCCTCCAACAGCTGTTTGAAGTCAGCCCCCTTCTACTCCTCTTGCTGGTGGCGAGAATGTTGTTAGTTATGTGTCCTCAGCTGTTGAGTCGGTTCTGATTCATAGCAACCCTCTATAAAAGGGGATGAAACACTGCTGCCCTGCCCGGTCCTTTGCCACCTCCACCATCCAATGTCCCAGTGCCATTTATACTAATAGGGCAATTCTTCCAGAAAGTGAAGATAGCCAGGTCTTTCTTCCTGGTCTGTCTTAGTCTAAAAGCTGTGCTGAAACCTGTGTACCATGGGTGGCCCTGCATTCATACCGGTGAAATACTGGTAGCAGAGCCTCCAGCATCACAACAACACACAGGCACCAGAATATGACAAACTGACAGAGGAGTGGTGCCTATACTACCTTCCTGTATTCCAACTCTCTTTCCTTAGCCCATTTCTCCAAGTGGCATTAATTCCTGCTGAAATCTTTCTACTGGTAATTGTTTTTAAAATTCCAAGAAGTACTGTCTTAATTCAAAAAGGAGCTCTAGTGGTATAGTTTTTTCAAACTCCAATACCTCAAAACCGCCTGCCAAATTAGACATGTCCAAGTTTCATCTCAGATCCACTGAATCTGAGTATCACCAAATGATGAGGCCTAGCCATATGTATTTCGAATAATCTCCATAATGATCCCAATGAATACGTAAATTTGAGGGCCTGAGCTGAAAACATTCTTGCTCCCTAACAATCTACTAGGAGGGCCCCTAACTTTCCAAGTTGTTTCACACCTTCCTGGTTAACCTGGTGAGTAGCTATTAATCTTATGAGATTTAGTATCTTTCTCAACTCAATTCTTCAGTTCCCTAACCTACCCTCAACTTATTATACCTATAATACCTTCCTTATGTTTTACCTATAGTCCTTCAGATCCACACAACCACCCACAGAATAGTATCCAGACATTAGAAGAAGAGATCGTAAACCCAAGGCAGGAAGATGAAGAAGTTTGTCCAAAGTGCTGTCTGCATGTGAACTCAGATCTGCTGACTACAAAACAAGGCATTTTCCATTTTGACAGTGTCTTTTACACATCACTCCTGAAGTATTGGCTTACTCATCAGTTTACACATTCGTTACCCCTTTTAGACAGTTAAATTCCTCAAAGGTGATTTTGGCGTTAATAGCTGGTTGCGCAACACGTGTTTATTGAATGAATGAAATATGGTAATACAGCTCCTCGAGAGCTGGTACTATAGCTACTTCTATTTCTTATATTAAATCCTCAGGTTGAGAAATGTAAACTCAACAAAATTTACTGCTGAATTTCATGTGGGAATGTGTACTTCAGTATTATTTTAAGCTAACAATAACAGCAAAGAAAGAAAAAGAGATCGTTCCTCTAAATTGAAATATCATTCTTACTTGGGACTTCCCAAATATTAAAGTTAATCTTTATAACAGTTTCATCTCCCAAGAGGCAACTATAAATGAACGAATTTTGAAAAGTAAACAGCCTTGGTTAATTAGCTGACATGAGCCAGTTGAGCATTGAATGTTGAGATTCAATACTGATAGCATTCAGCAATTCACACACACTAACCAGTGGAGGCCACTGCCATTATCTTGAAACCAGTAAACACTAATGGTTAAGCACAGAGCAATTAGTCAGTATACATGTGTACAAATGTAATAACCTACCTAATGCATCTGGTATGTAAAACAGTACAACTACGTGCTCTGAAACAGATGACACACTAAAGGTAATAAACCAGCAAAACTGGAAACCCCCCCCTTTCCCAAAGCAGGCTCACATCCCTAGAGTTGGTTTCGGCTCGTAGTGACCCCATATGACAGAGTAAAACTGCCCCAATGCATCACCAGGGCTATAAATCTTTAAGGGGACAGAAAGCCTCATCTTTATCCTGCAAAGTGGCTGGTGGGTTGGAACTGTTGACTCTGGTTAGTGGCCCATCACACAACCCACTTTACTATCAGGGCTCCTTTTTCTGAATGCAGGTACCATAAAATTCAAAGTGCTGAAGAGTTTCCTAAGTGGAAGATATGCTTAAACTAGTTCTACTTTAAGAGTTTCACATTTTTATTACACTGGTTTCTGATGAAATAAAAAGGTTTATTTCTTTAAGGCAACTTTTAGAAATAAATCAACAACTAAGAATCAAAAAAAGAAAAGAAACCTTCTAAAGTAACATGATGTAGTGGAAAATAAAACCAACCAGGCATCCGAGCCCTGGTTTTCGAGTTCTGCTTCCATTACTACACTGCTGGCTCACTCTTCTCTTGCTTTAAAAATAAGTGCATGTGATTGTGGAAGAGACTGGATTGTATTAATTGTCCTCCAAATGTCTGCTTTTTAGGCACCTTCCTCTTGTTTCATTCCTCTTATCAGTAAACTCAAGTTCCGCTCTCTGAAATATAACTTCTGTGACAGGAGCAACTGAATACAATGATTCAATCCTCAACTGGATGGCACAGATTACAAAGGGTAGATAGACTCCCTGAAAGTTAACAATTAATCTGGTAACTTTCCAGCAATGGTCTAACCCTAACTTCCAAAACAAGCAGGTATAGCCATGGCTGGCAAGTATTAAGATTACGAAGGATGACAAAAAAAATGGTACAGCTCAGCTCCAATTCCCATCGGGGTGCCCAGGGTCCCAGTGGCGCAGACTCTGCAGGTGCGGACAAGTAAGGTGGGGAGAAGAGGACTCAGCCAGCGTTTGAACCAACTCCATCACCGTTCAGCCAGGCCACCGCAGTGAACTGCAGCCTAACAAGGCCTACACCGCGGAGCAGAACCTCCCCACCCCCAGAAGTGCCAGCAGCCAATGTAATGAATGCTTCCGTCAACAACACACATTCCCCTTCCCACAGCAGAAGTGCTGCTCCAAATCGGCCATCTGGGGTTGGAATGGGCAGCAGAGACCCAACTCAAGAGTCACTCTATAACCCCAACGCCTAAAACCTACTAGAGATTGTGGCTTCCCTGCGCATGGCTGCGGGGAGAGAGGCACCCCCTCTTAACCAAAGCAAAAAAATAAAATAACTCGGTGGAGAGGCACAGGGAAGCCGGGCCCGAATAAATAAATTGCTGGCAGAATAAACCCCGTCTCTGCAACGGAGAGCTGCAGCATTTCCTGCCCTTGATCCGAAGCGGGGGCTCAGGAACCTGCTGCGCTCACTTCACTCCCTCCGGGACTCCAAAGGAGGGCTTGGGGCCCATCTGCTGAGCCGATCTATCCACTTGCGGAACCTTTGGCATTGTGAGGCGAGGCACGCCCAGATCAAAGATTAAGAGGTGACGCGAGGGCCAGCGAGGGGGCCCGGCTTCCGAGATCC